ATAAAGGGATTTCTACCAAGACCAGCACGGAAAGTAAGAGTAGATATAAAAACATCACCATCGTAAGTTGGGATTATGTTCCTGACTGTGACTCATTAGCACCACGCTTAAACCTGTAAAACATTAAAGGGAGTTGCCCCTATCCCTCAGGCGACCTCACTTATTCCCACCAGGCTCACCATGCGCCTCATTGCTTCCTGATGCCTTTTTCCCTTTATGCAGTCTGCAGAGTTTCTCCTAGCCTTGCTTTCTTGCCCTCCCTATCCTCTAATTCATTTCCATGCTGACATTCAAAGTGATTTATCTCAACTGCTAGCCTAACCTAATAGTTGCCCTGGCAACTATTTTAGCATGGTTTTAACATTGGCTCTTAGCAGGAAACCTCTAAACCTGGTGGAGAATGGTGATAATTAAACTGACTTGTAAGGGAAAAAAACGGGAGAAATGGTGAATTGTTTGTTTCTTTCTATATCCTTCAGGCTAGATGCCAGTGTTTCCATTTGAGGACTGTGCACTTGGCCACATCAAGGAGAGCCTATAGATAAAGCATCCGGTGCAAAGCTAAGAGCCTAGCAATAGTATCCGTTACACTGTGGTTGAAGAGGTCCCGTGGCTGAGCAATCTGTTAGTTTAATGTTCTCTAACCATGCTGGAGTTTTCAAAGAGTCCTACTTCATAATTGGGAGAACTTTGTTACTTAGCTGTGTGCTATTGAGCATACCCTGTTCACTCCAGGGACCTCAGTGTTCTCATCTGTAATGAGGAGGTTAAACTGGACGATCTGATCTTCCATTCAGTTCTACTAGTGTATAATTTCCTTGTACCAGCTGAGGAACTGATATTAAGTTGTTGGTAAAAAAAAAATCAAACTGGCAATGTTGTCCACTCAAGCATGCCAAACCTAATCAGTCAGAGAATAAGGAATTTTATCCACCATCTTTACCAGCTTGATTTGTGTCATTTTACATCCTCAAATACTAATAGATGATAGTTTTAAAATTAAGATGAAGTAAAATAATATTGTGTAAACATATGTATTGAGATGCTTTAACATACTCCAGGATGTTGCAAGGCTCATCTTTAGGAAATCTGTGTGCCATGTGATTGGCATAAGGATTATTTCCCAGTTACACATGTGCTTCAAATATTACAAAGAGGGGGCTGTTAAACTTTATTTCCAACCACCTACAAATGAATAACTTCGGTTATTTCTTTCTGTGAACTAGGCTATGTATCTTGACAGTGAACTGTACTTATTAATAGTGATTTTTGTACTTTATTAAGTAAAATTAATTATACATTACTAGAATTTAGAGACCTTTAATAAGTACATGATATCAAAGAGTCACATTATGATAGACTGGCCAAGAAATGAAATAAATACGGTATTTCAATGACCTCTATCTTAGGTAAGTATTGAATTTCTATAAAATTTGAAACATTTAAGTATCTTAAAAATTCCCAGACATGTAAAGTGTATCCTAGTCACCTGTAGACTACAATTTGGAAGTTAGTTACTATATTAAAGTGCAATCAATGAAATAATAGTTATTGATAGCTACTTGGCAATTACTGTATACCAGGGCCATATGCCTTTTCAACCTATCTTATATTTAGTCGAACTTCGAAGGTAAGAGAGTCACACAACTAGAAGGTGGTAGGATTTGAACCAGGAGAGATCTGGATGAACAGAAAAGATGAATGCTATTCTCAGCCTGGCAGTGGACAACTAATGTGATTAAAGCGAATCTTGAGATCTCTTGGAGAAAAAAAAAACAAGACAAACAAACACACATTGAGTCAGAAATCAACCTTCAATTCTTAAAGTGTAAAAAGACAATAGATTTGAGGTTCAGTGAAATGTTAGGTATGCTAACATGGAGTGGGTCATAGGGTACTAAGTTTTTCTGTACAATATCTGAATTTGTGCATTTTTCCGTTGAAGATTCCAGAGAGAAGTTACTCAAACTAGTGCCTTACTGACCAATGCAGGAAGGTCACCTACCTAATAACATGCTTGGGGGGGGGCATGATAGGAACCCATTTTAAGGCAGAAGTTAGGAGGAAGTGAAAATTTCTCCCCACTGGATAATTGCATATATCTAGTAAAGTGAGAGAAGGGCAAACGAAGGGGAAATGTCCATTTGTTAGTAACCGATGCTCTTGAATTTCAGGGTTTTTAAATATGTGTGTTTGTAGCGAGCCTATGCCAATGTATGTAGAAAGTCTTGGATACTGGGGCCTCAGGATTAGGGCTCCAGCACATTTAAGACAGTAAAATGCTGAAGGGAATGGAGAAACCAAACAGAAAGAAAGAAAGCAAAGGGCTGGAAGGTGAGCCTCCAAAGATGATAAACACCGATCCCTCTCGCACTTTCAGTCAATCATACTTTTAGTCCCCAGAGCAGTGGAAATGGGCTTCATGGTTTGAGGAACACCCACGGAGAATAAGGGGAAAGTCAGTTACCATGTGGGCTAGCCTTCTGTCATGCTAGCTTTAACTAGACCAGCTCTCATCTTACTTCTTTTTATGTATTGTTACTTCCCATGTATGATTTTTTAATGTGTTCTAAGCTTAAAAAGTAAAAAGAAAACTGCAAAATCATTTCTTGAGGGAGAGAGGCTGAAAAAAAAATCTTGACAAATTGTGCAAACAAATCACCCTTAAAGCCCTGCTGTTGAAAAGTATAGCTATGGTAGCAAGGTTTTTAGGGCTGGACCTCTGGGAGAGGGCAATCAGCAGTCAGCACATCAGTCTTTCTCCGCTGTGAAGTGAATAAGGACTAATAACAGCAGTGACCATATTAAACTTCAACACTGATGTGGACTCGGAGCCAAATGCTTTCTTAACTTGTGTCCTTTGCCACTGTTTCATTTCACAAATACTGTCGTTCTTCTGCGCCGGAAGGTATGCAAGTGTTTTAACTATCTGAAGATAAAGCAAATAAGGATTTTTTAAAAACATAAATTTGAGGCGCTCCTTGGGGCTTCTTCCTGATAAAATATGCATCAGGTTGAGACGATCTATTCCTCAGAACGCAGCCTAACTCTGAGTTCAAGAGGATAAATCACATGCTGGCCCCAAACTCAGGAATGGCTAATGCCTTATTCCAAGAAGGAAGTGTCTCATGAAGATTCGACTGAAGGAAATACTTTATTGAAAGGAAAGATCTTGTTATAATTGAATATTTGCTTAAGAATATTCTCATTAATGTGTGCATTCAACAAATATTTATGGGGCATCAACTATAAACTCTGAATGCATAATCTCTAATATACAGTATCAAAGATAGATTTGTCTGATATAAGCATAAACCATTTTGCGAATTGCTAAGTGCTCATTCAGGTAACACCTAGAGATTAGGTGTAATATTTAGCCTCATTTCAAAAGCTAATTCTAAAGCTAAGTAGACTGTGGATTGTATGTTGTATAACCTGGGATGGTTACTCACCCTTTCTGCCTCTCAGGTTTCTGATTTAGGACATGAGAATAGTATATATAAATATGGGAAGGATCACATAAAATCATGTATATAAAGTCCTCAGCACTGTCTGAGACACAGAATACATTCAATACACACTTACTGTTACTGTAATCACTGGGAAATTATTAGCCGATTGTTACACAGCTTGTGATAGTGAGACGATCTTAAACTTCTGATACTTAGACCAATATTTTTTGCCCTAGTCTATCCATTTCTTTCTCTGGGAACAGGTCATGTAAGTGTCATAGGCTTTTGAGAAATATTTAGGCTCATCCAGGGAGAAGATTCATAAAGAAATGTCTGACATAAGAAACCAATTCCTGATTCTGGAGTTGTGGCTCATTACTGTAGTCCCAGTATTTGGGAGGCTGAAGTTAAATGATCACAACAAAGCCATTCTGAGTTATATAGGGGCAAGAGAAACAGAGAGATAGAGACAGCAGACAGGCAGAAAGACAGAGAGATAGAGACAGCAGGCAGGCAGGCAGACAGGCAGGCAGGAAGAGAGGGGGGGGGAGATGGAGGGGGGGAGGGAGGGAGGGGGAGAGGGAGAGAGAGAGAATCTCTAAACCTAAATACCTAAACCTTAGAGCATTGTTATATTGTCTAATAAATAAATCACTGAGCAAATTTCTATCCTCGCTGGGCTTTTGTCTTCTGTTTGTTTTTTGCTTTGCCACAAATGATATAGTTATTCCTCATCTAGAGATAATGGTGGGAAGACCTTCAGAAAACATGTGAGATTCACAGAAAGATACTGAACTGGGCAATATATTTTTAAGTTAAAATAAAATAGAAGCATAAATACTACAAAGACTCAAGGAATGATGCATTTTTTAAGTTAAGTTATTTCACAAGAGTGAAAACTCACAGAAATTGTTGAGGATTGAGCTCAAAGCAAAACAAAGCTGAAGCAGAGCCACAATTTCATCCCTGTGTGCAGGCACAGCACTGACACAGCCCTGGAAGGGACATTAAATCCAGGCTGAGAGAGGCATAAAGTAGCTACCCCATCCACGTGCTAAAAATAATGGTTGAGTTACAGCTGCCTAAGCAAAAGATGATTTATTCTTTTCTGAAATTTACTGTGGGTTAATCAGAGTCCCAAAATGTTGGTTGTTTTAATATATGAAGAATATTAAAAATATTTCATGGCTTCCCCGAGGAGAATGCTAAATCCATGAATGCCTGGTGCAGGGCCCAAGAACTGGGGCCAGAAAGAAAAGGGAGATCCTGGTCCACCACGGAGGGTTCGTTGTGATAGATTTAGATGTAGTTACTATAAAAGGAACTTGTTGTGATACTGTGTGCTTATAACTTTGCTAAAGAAGGAAATCAAGTACTAAGTGTTTAGACCACAGTCATTGATAAGAGGCTGCACCAGTCTTACTTCATCACTGAATCTTGATCTTGCTAACTTAACTCTCCTCACAAGGAATCACATTTTGATACATGGGATATCTATGGCAAACACCTTGATTCCTTTTTCATTGGGAATATTTTTCACTTTTCCAGGGCATCAGGTACTGTTTATACAGCACTAGACATTGCAACAGGACAAGAGGTATGTGCTACCATTCTTTATTATTTTCCTTTGTGTTTGCCAAGTTTTCTTGTTGATGGCATGTGTGTTTAGTGTGTTGCACTAGATTACAATGAGAGTTTAAATCTGTTGGTATGCAAAATATTTGAAATATATAGTAATGATTGACCAAAGAAAAGATACATATTTGTATTTGTAGTAAATAATGAATTTGCATGTTACTTACATATATTTAATAATAATTTGTTCCTTATTTTAATGCTCATTCAGGTGGCCATAAAGCAAATGAACCTTCAACAGCAACCCAAAAAGGAATTAATTATTAATGAAATTCTTGTCATGAGGGAAAATAAGAACCCCAATATTGTTAATTATTTAGATAGGTAAGTATTTTCTCTTATTCATTATATATTTTCTTTCTAAGGTGTTATTTTCTTGTCAAATCATTTATTGTGAATTTATTACTTTGATAATCATCTGCAAATATTTCTGAAATGATACATAGTAATAAAGTAAATCTTTGTCTACCCATCAAACATTTGAAATTATGTTTTTGGACTTGCTTCTAAACAAAGCTAGTTTGTGTGATTTCCTTTTGAGGATGGTGGCTCTCTGTTACCAGGAAATGGACTAGTAGATCTAGGAGAAAACAATGGTGTTTTAATCATTTCATCAAATGTCTGTTTGGAGCCAGTATGGTCCCTGGGAGGCTGAGTAAAGAAAGCAGACAACAATAGCCCTGTTCTAATGGGTGCTTTATGATTAACTGACAGTGAGGCCTGAGGAATTGAGACTTTAACCTTAAACCTTTTTCCTAAAGCAGGTATTTAACTCCTCTTTCATCAGCTGGATTAAGCGTGTGTTACAAATAGGCACTTAAATGCTGTGCTAAGTCTTCTTTTGTGGTTACCCTCTGTCTCTTCCCGTTTCACTTGCTGTTTGCTTAGCATGGCTCCGTTGAGGTTTCTGATGGGAGGTGAAGGAACTAAGGCTAGATCCAACCTCCATGAGCTTAAGGGCTCACTGCCTGTGTTAGGTCAACAGACATGGATATGGTAGGGCAACAGACACTGAAGTTTCAAGCTTTGATCAATGTTTCCCGTGCACCCTTTCTGGCCCACCTGCAGCAGTATGACGTGAACTCGAGTTGTGCATCTACAGTTTTGTAAAACTTACATTCAGACTTTTTAAAGGGGCTAATTTCTGGCCTTTTGTCCATGACTAATGACAATAGAACCTGTGAAGTTTGAATTTGAAGAGATTTGCCAAGTAGGTCCCCAAAATACTGTAGTTTGAGCAGCGCAGAATAGGACTTTTTGCTTCATAGTGAGGTAGAGTTTTGTTTGTTTGTTTGATTTTTTAAAATATCCCTGCAGTTCAGGATGGCCCGGAACTTACACACATCCAAGGCTAACCTTGAGCTCCTAGACAACATACTTTATCCTCCCAAGCAGGTGTGATTACTGGTGAATGCCACCATACCAGGCTTAGTGGATTGCTTATTAAGGCTGAGTGAGTCACTGTGTTCACTCTTCTCTATAAGAAGATAGTAATAATTGATTTGAGTAATCTACTCTTTTCCTAAATTGGGAGGCTACCCAGTAACCTTAGTTCCTATATGTCAGCACTGGAGATTGTTCCTCAATAGTCACTTAAAGATAGTGGGCATAACACTATCGACTTTCATCCCAAATGAGACCTGAGTCTTTACCTCCTCAGTCCAAAGTCCAAGTATTTTTCTTTTCTTATTATAGCTACTTAGTGGGTGATGAGCTGTGGGTAGTCATGGAGTACTTGGCTGGCGGCTCTTTAACTGATGTGGTCACAGAAACCTGTATGGATGAAGGACAGATAGCAGCTGTCTGTAGAGAGGTAAGAAAAGAGAATATTTCTTGCTTGTGAGACCCATAAAATTTGTGAAAGCTTTCTTTCTGGATGTTCAGAATATTTCTAGCTTCAAAATAACAATAACGTATTTTCTCGGCTCAAAATACTGGAAAATGTATTTAAACTATAACTTAATATCATGCCCTTGCATCACCTTCTCCAGACCCTTATTTACATTAGTTGCTTTTCTGTGGCTCTTTAAGCTCTAACATGCTACTCAGAAGACACTTTATCTAAGCCCACACATAGTAGTGCCAGGGAACATGGCCAGTTGCTATGCTCACATGGGATTTCTTTTTGATTTGTGGGAATTTTTACAAGATAAATGCTGTGTTCCTCATGTTCAATGAGGTCCATAGAATACAAACTGCATTATATTTCCATTTATTTTCCAGAAAGCTATTTTTTTATTTTTAACACATATTTTGATTCTCTCCCTGTGTATGTGTGGTGTGTGTGTGTGTGTATGTGTGGGGTGTGTGTATGTGTGTGGGGAGTGGGTGTGGGTGTGTATGTATATGTGTGTGTGTGTATATGGTGTGTGTGTGTGTATGTGTGTGGGGTGTGTGTGTGTGTATGTGTGGGGTGTGTGTGGGGTATGTGTGTGTATGTGTATGGGGAGTGGGTGTGTGTGTATATGTGTGTGAGGTGTGTTTGTGTATATACTACGTGTGCATATGGAAATTAGAGAACAGCTTCTGGGACTCAGTTCTTTGCTTCCATCATGTGAGTCCTGGGATCTGAGCTCAAGTTACATACCTCGGTAGTCAGTGTGATCCGTCTCACGGGCTCTAAGAGGAATCTCAACACAGTCGTCCCTCACCCCACAAAGTAATTGCTTTACAGTATTCCCTGAATATTCCTTATATTGAACCTGAGGATCTGTCATCTATAAGGAGAGATGAATGTTTCTGCCTTTAGTTTCTCGCCACGTTGACGATGTTTTATTCCATTGTTTTGACCAATATTGTTTTTACAGCATACACCCTCCAATGGGGTCTAATCATCAAATTTTCCACAAAGTAAAATGAAAACTTGAAGACCAAACCAAGGATAGTGCAACCGAGCTAAACGATATTAATCTTTCAGCTAGTAGTATATTCTACCTGAACCTGTATTTTGTATCTTTTAATATTACAAGACAAAAGCATTTCCAAACAAGTACCTTTAGTTACTTTAGAACTGGAAGCCATCCTCAAACCTGTCCATCAGAAATAGCCCAAGAAAATTATTTCAATTTCACATTTTTGTTTCCCATGCTAGATCTACTGAATCAAAATTCACCATGTACACTGAGGCTTATAGAATCATCTAGAAATCTAAACCAAAGCATGATTATGCTAACTGGTCAACTGGACTATAACAGTAACTAGTACTGATTGTTGCATTATCCACTTCATTATTTATTCTATAATGAGATACATGAGCCCTCAAATACATAAAGCTAAGTATCATCATTGATGTAAATGGTAAGGCAGTTTGAAAATGGTGTTAAAGCATTCATTAATCTACTTCGTTTAATAACATCAAATCACAACCTTTCCAAAAAGAAAAAATCTTTGTGATATAATTAAAAATCTTTGTGATACAATTAGAACTTTTTTTTCTGATTCGATAGTGCCTCCAAGCTTTGGATTTCTTGCACTCAAACCAAGTGATCCATAGAGACATAAAGAGTGACAATATTCTTCTCGGGATGGATGGTTCTGTCAAACTGAGTACGTATTTTGATTCAGATATTTCAGAAAATATCAAGGAATTTCTACTTTCCAACTGTCTACCTTGAGAAGATAATGTTTTCTGAAAGTGATTTATTTGAAAGTAGTTAGAGCTTAATTTGAATTAAAGAACTTGTCTGATAGTCTGTTCCTATAGACTATGACCAGCTGTTTTTTGGAATTAATATTTCAGAATGTCTAGTAGTATCCAGAATGAATGGATAGCAAATAACTAACTAGAAAATGGAAAACTTCCTTAAATATATGTGAAGGTATTAGGAGGGAATGATATAGAATTCTACTAAAATGATATTCCTATTTGTCAATTGATTCAGACCCCTTTAAAATCAGTATTAGCTGAGGGATTGGGTCATGATCAAGATGTGAGCAAAGCATTGGCAAATGTTCATTTTCACATTTAAGGAAGGTTCGGCCACATGGGAAAATAAACTATTGCAAAAAATAATTATTTGGGCTCATTTTAATAGACTTTTCTTCTCTACAGCTGATTTTGGGTTCTGTGCTCAAATCACTCCTGAGCAAAGTAAACGAAGCACTATGGTGGGAACTCCCTACTGGATGGCACCTGAGGTGGTAACTCGGAAAGCTTATGGTCCAAAAGTTGATATCTGGTCTCTGGGGATCATGGCCATTGAAATGGTGGAAGGTGAACCTCCTTACCTTAATGAAAACCCACTCAGGGTAAGTCAGGAAAATTCAGGTACTTTCTGCCCCCCAAAAAAGGGGGGAAGAAAAAATACCATTTAATGATTCGCCAAATTCGTCAGAACTCGAACTTTCTTGGAACAAGCAACACAGAGACACTGAGTTACGATTTATAAATTCCTCTGACTTTAAAGTACCTTGTTCTCAGTCTCTCTAACAAAAGTCTTCAATATTATTTAATAGACAGCTTCCTACTATAAAACTGTAGAAAAGGATATGGGAAGAAAGGGTGTTTTTTTTGTTTTGTTTTTTGTTTTTGTTTTTGTTTTTGTTTTGTTTTTTTTTTTTTTTGGTTTTTTGAGACAGGGTTTCTCTGTGGCTTTGGAGCCTGTCCTGGAACTAGCTCTGTAGACCAGCCTGGTCTCGAACTCACAGAGATCTGCCTGCCTCTGCCTCCCGAGTGAGGCGTGCGCCACCATCGCCCAGCAAGAAAGGGTGTTTTATCATGTGCTCTTGTTTCATAATTACTTTAACAAAGTAAAACAATACATTTCCAGAAGCAGTTATCATTTTTAAGTTGAATTTTTTTCTTTGTTGTCAGTAATGATTCATTGAGCAAGAACAGCTTGGTTGACATTGAATGAGACAGAAATAGACATAGCTTCAGCCTGATAAAATCACAAACTTAATTAGAAGTTTGTCAAATAGAAGATGAACGGAAATTATTTGGGTTAGACAACTCGGTTTATACTACATAATTGGAGGGTTGATCCTCAAATGGTTCAGTTACCACTGAAAAGAAAAAATAAGTAAATAAAATCTTCCAACTCATACCCTAACCCCAATGGCTTTATTCAGATATGTGTAGTTGATCATTGGGTAAAGTCAAATACAAACGAAGCACTTGCTTATTGTAGATGTAAGTCAAAAGCTATTGAGTTATATATAACTTCACAGTAAACCAAAAGTCATATCTCATATGCATAAAGAACATGAGATTGTTGCTAAATGAATGTAAGCACAAATTCAAATCTGTTCTTAAAATTCACACACAACAGTTCTAAAGTCTGTGTCATTATTATGATGAGTCTAATACTGTGTTTTATCCTTTGTACACAAAACCCATTGCCCTTGATCATCAGTTAAGTGTATGCTCAATATGTTTGCAAATTCTATATTCAAACCAAATACATGTGGCTTTCTATACATGTCAAGAAATCTGTGAAGTAAATGTCTAATTGCTTTTGCAGTTGAAAATTGTTTTTTTTTTTTTTGAAATTGAGTGTCATGTTGCCAAAACAGAGGGAGAGGCCTCCTCTAATCCTCAATTATTTTGATTCCACCCTGGAACTTGGCTGCTGATCTGTCCCTACACGGATTAGAAAACAACAGATATGAGTGAATGCCTTCATGAATCCTGTGGGCTGTTACGCTTGTCTCACAAAACAATCTGGAAGTGAGCTGTGTGCATTGATTAGCTGCCTGCAGGGCTGAGTGGAAAAGAAGGGGCATTTTCCCACCACTTGTGGGTCAGCCCTCCATGTGTTTATCAAGTCCACCCCTGACCTGTTGGACAGTGCATCAGGATAACTACAAAGGTGTTTCTTTACTGTTTAACTACCTTCGCCCATTAAGAAACAGCGGTGGAAGAACACATCAGGTCTGTTGTTTCTATGAATTTCCTCCCTTAAGACTTTGAACTTTAGAGGCACTAAATGGATTACAGAAGGCTTTCTGCCGTCTGCTGAGTAACTTACAACCTGCAGAATTTAAGGATTGAATATGGCTATGAAAGGAAACTGGTCTCAGTAATGCATTTATTGCTCTCTTCTGTTCCTTAGTCATAATTTCTCTCTCTTTAGCTAGACTGCTAATTACTAGGAAAAAGGTAAACAAGTTTTAACCTCCATAGGCACCTTCTAGCCTGAGATTGGAACTCATAATTATAGCTTGTCTCTTAAAATCCATAGCCTTCTATCAAAACAAGTAATTGTAAATTAATAAACCACATAGTTCAGGAAGCCTCCATTAAGACTGTCACAAAAAGACCTGTCGGAAAGTCCACCTTGTTGAATTGCACTGACAAGGACTGACTAACCTTGTGCCCTATTCTCTTTACCTGATTGGCCTCTGGTTAATTAATCAGTCAGTCCATGTTGAGCCAGCCTGATTCTGAAGCTCTTTTCTTCTAGACACCAGAAATACTTTTAAGCTTCATTGTAACTCTTCTATCCTGACCTATCTGGCCTTATTTGGAACTTGAAAAGAGTATTCATTGAACCCAGGGGAAGACTGCAGACTGAAAGATACAGGGTGACACTATAGGGAGCTCACTTTTTCATTGATTCTGGGAACCTGACACAGTGTTGGGAAGTAGAAAACCATGCAACTTTAGGAGAGGCAGGAAAGAGCACTCACTTTTTTTCTTGAAAATTATCCCAATCTACCACAAGTTCACCATTTGTAGACTTTGAAACAGGTGAAAGTAAAGGGGGGAAAGGAGTTAAAATGATACTATACAGAGTGGCATGCACTTATGGGGGCAAAAACTCCCAGTGAAGTACTCAAGGTACTTAAGTATGTCCTGACTATGTAACTTAAATGCTCTGGACGTTTTGAAAAGTCACTGAAAACCCTTATAAACCTGTTTCCTTTCTGTGAATAAGGATAATATCCATCTTGCTGAATCTACATGAAAATTAGGTGAATGATATATGTAAATAATTTAGCTCCGTGTTTAATTCATTGTAGAAAATATATGTGTAAGTTTATAAACATGAACAGAAAAGAAACCAAAGGGAGAGAAGATATTTAAAGTTAATTTTGCTCATTCAATGGATTCACCGTGCCCCACCTATTACTCCATGGAGTGGAGGATTCTGTACAGTTTAATATAAATACCAGGAAAGGTCATATTAAACAGAACAGGTTCCAAGTGAAGTTTCAGGCTGTGCATTACAAAGTTGCTTGCATTTCTCGGTGGCTTGTGTTTTTGTTATGCTTGACTCAATTAAGCAAATTGTCTGCAATATTGACTGCTAATATATATTTGATACAAAAATCGACTGCTTCTTTTGGCCAGTAATAAAAATATTGAAATTTTTAAAATGTAAATAAATTGACCTAATTTGCTCATGAAATACTTTTAAAAGATCAGAGAGTTATTAGCTGTATTGATGTTGTGGTATTGGCAACTCTTCTAGAGACAGAGAGGAGACTGCCTTCTTATTGTCCTCCTCACTGTCCAGTGCCTTAAGTGTACAATTAACTTAATTGGCCTTGGACATGTTGTTCTGTCACCCATGAACAATGTTATGCAGTCTCTAACAAATAAGTGCCTCATTCTTTCTGTTTGCCAAAGTAACTGGGACTTAAACCAAATCCATCTTTCTCTTTGAATATGCACATCAAACACTGATCTTTTTTTGTTGATACCACTTTTCTGCTAATGGATGATACATTTTGTTAAAAGTTGTGATCATAAAGACCTGATTCTAATGAGATAGTTATTTCTATCTACCAAACCAAACTTTCATTTGTTTTCCTAAATCAACACAAAGAGAGTATCTTTCTTTTAAAAATTATGTTTACCCTCACACATAGTAAGTTTGTTCTTATCAAGCTGTGATGAATTTTGGTTCTCGTGAAGTGTCTCTGTGATGTCCACTTGAAGTCCATACAGAACCTGTTATAATCCCATTTTATGTTTTTATGTGTCACTTTCTAGCCCCCTTTAAGTGTTTGCTTTATGCCTTTGTTTTAAGCATTAGTGGGGCTGTATCAAACACTGATCCACTGGAATACACTTACTGCTTCCAGTGCCCAAAGCAGCCTGTGGTATAGTGTGTGAACCACACACCCTACTTGTGTTTCTCGTGCTTTTACATCGGAGTCCTCTGTGGAGATTAAAAGCTAATAACATTGGATTCTATCCCTTAGGAAAAACTGGAAACTAGAACTAGGCCAAAAGTGAATCTATATGGCAAGACCTTAGTAGAGCACTGTTTACAGTAAGAAGCATTCCTTCATCTCTGTTTGAGCACAGTTGCTTAACCAGGAAAACACATTCTGCTCATACTGTCCATTTCATTTAAGAAATCATAAATAAGAGCATCAAAGCCTAGTTGAAATATTGTTCACTTATGCTCGTTTTCAGACTTAGCACTGTAGAAGGAGCGGCGGGCCGCTTCCCGCCTCCTAGCTCCCGGCCACTGGCTAGCTTTACCCAAAATAATTACACGGAAACTGTATTCTTTTAAACACTGCCTGGCCCATTAGTTCCACCCTCTTATTGGCTAACTCTCACATCTTGATTAACCCATTTCTATTAATGTATGTAGCATCACGAGGTGGTAGCTTACTGGGAAGATTCTAACCACCATCTGTCTTGGGTAGGAGAAACATGGCGACTTTCTGACTCAGCTTCTTTCTCCCAGCATTCTGTTCAGTCTACTCCGCCTACCTAATTTTCTGTCCTATTAAAGGCCAAGGCAGTTTCTTTATTAACCAATGAAAGTAACAGATAGACAAATGACCCTCCTCCATCATAGCACTATATATATTAGCTTCTTTTCTGGTGCTGTGATAAAAAATACCTCGACAAGAGCAATGTAAGGCAGAAAATGTTTAAATTCAGAATCTCAGGTTACAGTCTATCATTATGGGGAAGTCAACAGACAGTAGAAACTTGAAGTGTCCAGTTTCAATATATCTACAGTCAAGATTAAAGGAGAGTGAATTAATAACTATATGCTTGTGTTCAGCTAGCTTTTCTCATTCTTCTACAATACGGTGGGCAGGTCTTTAAGCACCAGTTAATGGAATAAAGAAAATCCATGCACAGAGGTCAACCAAATCTAGACAACCCCTCATTGAGACTCTTCCCAGGTGCTTCTGGATTATACCAAGTTAGCAGTTCAAACTATCACATTATCAAAAAGGAGCAATATTAGTAAAGTATACATCTCCATGATATAACTTTCTTGAATGAATTTTTGTCTTCTCCAGTTTCTCACTCTTCCTTGACTTCCTGGATCATTCTCCTTTCCTACTGCTTTATGTTTTTAAATCTATATTGCTATCCTAACTCCCACTTTCAAATGTCCCATAGTTCCAAACCTTGAGTACTGCTAAGGTCTTGTAGGATTACATCATGAATGCAAGTTTCCTGCTACACGTTTCTTCACAAGAGATTAGAATGGGTCACATGGGTCGTTAGAGTCGTCTGGTATTTATTTTATGGCACTGGCCAATGCTTTCTGCTTGGGAAAAGGTATTCCAAAGCTAACCTAACACCTAATCAGTCAGTTCTAATTAATTATATTTTATTATAAACCTATAAGGGAAGATATCCCTAAGTTCTTTTAAAATGGCTCCTAAGGATTAAGCAGGAGCGCAACAGCTCCTCATAATTGGGAAATAGGTGAGAATTTGTATGTGAGATAATATGGAGGTAAATTAGACTGCAGTGCTATATTGCACTATAGTGTGAAGGTGACACAAAGCATGGCATATAGTGTATGCATATATACTAAACTTTTGCAGGCTGGACTCTATTAACCCTTTTAGAAAAATGAAGAATGTCAGAGCCTCTCATGAAATCCATAAACACACCAGAGTAGCATGTAACTACTGGCTTTTAACCTCTCAAGTCCCAGGTCAACTAAACCACAATGTGTCAACTTGCCCATTGCCAAATCTTGCTCATAAAGCACTAAGTAGAAAATTCTAAAATGAGAAAGGAATCGGGACAGCAGGAGGTTGTAGGTACCAACCAGAATACAAGATGACTATATAAACTCCCAGTATGCATGCACACGTGTACACACACACACACACACAACACACCTCTCTCTTCCAGTTATGTATGTGTCCTTTGTTCTCCTTTTCCAAACTAGTAGACAATGATTGACCACAAAGAGGTCCATTTTCTTTGTACAAGGAAAAATAGAATGAAGTATGTCAGGTGTTCAAAAACAGTATGCCCCATTTCATGCCTTCCCTTGTCTGCCTCTGCCCAAAGACTGTAAAAAACAAAAGAGGTGTCATGCACCAGTTAAGAGAATGGAGTCTGAATGCATACCTGAATTCAACTATTGATTTCTACATTATTAGAAGCGTGACACTGGGCAAGTTGTTATTTTTATCCCCACAGGACAGATGCTTTGCCTGTCACTTGAGGATCATAATAGCCTATCTCAGGAAGTTGTCATGTGAAATATATGAGACAACATTAATTAGTAATTCAACTTTATGTAATCATTCTTGCTATGAACATATGTGCACTGATGTTGGCATTTAGACTAGTAAACCTCTTATTACTCTTATTACATAATGATATTGTACACTCAGTAGATTTTGTGTGGACTCATTTGGAAACCCTCTCAATATGTATAACATAATTTCCATGGGAAATTGGACTATGAATCCCAAATGCTCAGCTTATGAAAAGATTTCTCAACCATACCTTATCTGCTTTGTAAATTGTTTCATTATATTGCTGCTGATACTTCTTATACTTGCAAACATATTTCCCAGAAAGTCTCCTGGCTTATTTTTCAATGACTTAACGTAAACTTTATAAACTGTTATAATGAATTGAAGTCACAAACTAAAGCTTTTTAATTAAATAGTCCTATTTCAGCACTGACTTAATGAAAATTTATGGGTTACATATGGATTGTCTTGAGACTTCTTTCGAGAAATGTGGTAACTTCCACAGTGAGGGCTTTGATCTTTCTCAACTGAGGAAATTGCCAATAAGGTAAATTCAATTATTCCTCCAATTAGGCACACTGGTTTTCTCTTAGTACTTGGGTAAACTCAGTTGCACATAGGGGTAGTGAAAACTTTAATGGTTGTATGTTATTGTCAAGATAGTTACCATTGGGATGTCTTCAATACTAGAAAATTTTATTTATGTTTATACAGTGGAAAATAGCTACCATTTTAATTTTGCCAATCATATTTCTAATATAAATGCAATCTATAAACCATGGTTCTGTCTTGCCTCGCTAAATGTATCGGATCTTATGATCCAATATGCTCTTGTATTAGGACCTTCCCTGGTCAGCCTCAGCTACGGAGGAGAAATTTTTGAAACTGCAAAAGTTTTGCAACACAATTTTTTCAAGATCCCTTTCATCTCTGGGTTTTTCTGAATGAAACACATTGTGTTCAGCTTGGTGTGGATCTCCCTCCCTTTGATAGGATGTCTTTAAATGCACCACGCATAGAGCTCTCTTATTTTTCCCCTTGTGATTAGTGGTAGTCAATGTGATCACACTTTTTTATCAACTCTAAAACTGTGTTTTTCATTTTTTGTTTTTATCTTCTTATAATTTAACAGAGTACTTAATGTTCTAAACTTTAATATTTTGTGTATCAATTTGTTATATTCCCAGAGTAGCTAAATTCATAAACTTTGACATTTATTATACAACAATATATCTTTTTAAATATCTATTTTTAGCAAATGAGTACAAAATTCAGAGATGATCATAGATGGTATAGTTTCTCCTTTCCTTGGGTTCACAGTCCTGGAGTAATGACAGATCTGTATTTAATCAGTACAACCAAATGCATTGTAAAAATAGACTTGTGGACTCTTGAAGCTCAGAGGAGGGGGAGGCAACTATCCTCATTGTTTCAGATTCAGGGAAACATGGTCTTTGATGCTAAAGCACAAAACAGTCCTCTGAAAACTGGGGTGGTTGAACACTGCATCTACCTGAGAGAGATGCCAAAGACTGATGAGGAGATACCATTTATGTTTGTTCCCCAAAGTCAAGTAACAGTTTACCATATACAAGGAGATGAAGAAAGAAGAAGAGGAAACTGAGAAAGAGTGTTTCCTATTCAGGATTAAGCAACAAATTGGTGTAACTAATATGTGAGCTTTGGTTAGTATGTATGGGTGGGAGAGGGAAGAGAAAGTCATTAGAGTGAGAATAGAACAGACAAAAGCTGACGAAGGAAGAAGAAAGCAAATATGCCATATATCATGCCTATCCTTATGTGTCTTGTGGACCAGTGGTATATTTATATTTATATAAACAAGTATATTTATCCCCTTGTTCCAATGAAGTGTTGTTTAGAATGATAAATAGGAAGAAAAGCAAAACTCCTTTGACCAATCATTGTACATGTGAATATAGGATCCTAAAATCTCTACTATTCCTCTTCACTTTCTCCTTTCTCTCTCAAATGCTCTTGGGGAGGAATCTGGGGCAACACCATTTAAAGCCTGCATCTTTGGACAATAGGAGGCCACTAAGAACTTTTAAAAAGATAAATGAGTGACAAGATAAAAAATGAGGGAAGATAGAAATTTTAAGGGGAGGGGGTGGGCTTAAGAACAAAAAGGTTCAAATAAGGAAAATCAATTAGGACAGTATTAAAGCTGTCTGAGAATAGTCCTGATCCTAAGCAAAGATAATGGTGATAGAAGGAAGTAGAGGACTGTGGAAGCCATAGCTAAATGCTGCATTGGTAGAACCTAGGAAAATAGCTGTTGAAAGTTGTGAGGTCAGGGTGTGAGGCAAGAGATCACAGAGATGATCCCATTCTTTCTTGCTTACACTAGAAGCAGCTAAGTAGCCACAAAATTCTCTTGTCCAGTTTCTAATAACCAACTCATTTTCCTTGAATTTTCAGTGACTCTTTAAAAGTGGCACATGAGCACTCACGTGCAGATTTATTTTCCCCAGTCAGCTTCAGCTGAGACTTGCCTTTGCTGGTAAACCCTTTCTTGTTGTCATTGTTGTGTTGGCTACAACTGTATTTGTGTCTCATTAGCAAGGCAGAGGGCAGCAATTTTCATTTCTATGAAGACAGCCCCCAGCTCATGCACAGGATGTGTTCCAAAAGTTCCTTTTTAAGTTAATTATTGGGAACCTAGAGTGCATTTCCACATAGAAACAGCCTTATACATAGTGATTAGGCTCCCAGGCTAGTCCACAAAGGCCAGCTTAGTTCATAATGTAACTGAGTGTATGGATTTTGACAAGGGAAATTAGGTAGAAATAATACTGTTGCAAATAAAATAAAACAATAATTTGAAAAGAAGTAGTTTGAGAGTTTTGTTTTCCTTGAAGGACAGTTCTTGATGAACATGACATTTAATCCTAAGAGGACAAAGTACAATAGATGAAAATTGGATGCTGCAGCTTTTAAAATGCATTTTAAGTAATGTTTCTGGGTAGGGAGTTAAAATGATAATAATAATCAGTATTGTGTCCCTTGTAGAAAAAATTGAAAGTTGAAAAATATATTTTAAAAACTAAATCACCAGTAATTGTAATGCCAGAGAGAGCTACTTTTAACAAATGTCTATCTTCACTTTTTTCTTAGTATATGCAATTTTATAGGGCATGTTCACTGTACAAGGTGATAACTTTCAGAAGGGCATTTTGATTCATGTGCTAGTATGTACTTGCGTAATTCTGACCCTCATTCATCTATCCTGTTCCCCACGACTCATTCCCTTCCTTTTCCTCAATGGTTCCTCTTCTACTTTCTTGTCATTGGAAATCTAGATTTTACTTATAAAAAGAAGCATAATGTTTGTCTTTCTAGGTTTGGCTTATCTTATCTCCTTTACTTCCATCCATTTTCCTAGGAATGATATTATTGTTGTCTCTTACATCGCCTTCCATAGTATTCAAGCAATAGTAGTTAAGGTACATCCAACATGAAGAACTTCTGCTACAGTGGCAACTAGTATTGTTAGTGAACCAGGCTCAGAGTTGACTGCTAAACTATAAATCAATACAACCTGTGCTCAGTCCCACCTTTCAACAGAAACCATGTCCACATTATTCTCTAAAATGGACTTTTTGAAAACATATAGAATAAATAAGAAGAAAACTGATTTATACCTGTGATTTTACTATGTGTGTGCTGAGTATATTTAAATACTTTTTTTCTTTTTAGGCCTTATATCTGATAGCAACTAATGGAACCCCAGAACTCCAGAATCCCGAGAGACTGTCAGCTGTATTCCGTGACTTCTTAAATCGCTGTCTCGAGATGGATGTGGATAGACGAGGATCTGCCAAGGAGCTTTTGCAGGTGAAAATAAAGTAGGGCAATTACAAATGGAGAGTTGGGTTGCTGTGTTGAGCTTGTCCATGTCAATGTGAGACAGGAAGAGAGCTCTGTTGAGAGACAAGTATTGAGAGTTAGGTTACACATAAGCATAGACATGCATTTATTACATGGCTCATTGATCATGTTGTCTTGCCGTTTCTCAGAAGAATTTGCATTTTAATCTATAATTCTGTTTTGTTCTTCCTGAAATCTTACTCTGCAAGGAAAAAAAAACCAACTGTGCCTTTCTGGTATTGCTAGAATTTTTTCCTAAGCTTCATTTGTGCCTCTGGATGGTGTATGCAGGTTCTCTTGGCCAGAGGTAATTTTCTACATAACTATGCAATAATTTCCCTAATATTTGCCACTCTCATAGTTTACTGGGCAAATCCCTTTTGCATGTGATGCCAAATGGCAGACACCAGCTTGCCTGGATGAGTACCAACCAGTGGAGTGTGCCTCTGTATCCATTTGTCCTTCTCGTGGCTCTCAGGACCAATTTATATGATGATAACTGGGGCCTTTCACCTCCCAAACTCTTATGTATAAAGTCTCATTCAGATATTACAAATATGTGTGGGAGTTGTTGTCCTATTTTGCAGATGTGGAAATAAAGGCTCACACAAGTCTTGGATGGCAAAAGAGCTCTAATTTGAGCCTAGAATTGCCCAGTTTTCCACCATATATGAAATGAAAACTCATGTAGATTTTGAAAAGATGTATTTATTTGACAAAGCAGCACATATGCAGGATTGCACAAACAATTTTACCGCTAGGGACCTTTCTTTCAGGACGAATAAAAACAACTGCTTGCTTTCTCTGTGACTTGGATACATAAGGCTAAACAAAAGATGCAATATTGGTGTGCAGAATGCTAACCATAGATTCACGGTGTTTTTGCCTACTTCCTAATATGGAAAATTCTGTTCCAATTGCTTCTAACGTCCTTCGAGAAACAAGGACCCACATCTGGGGGAAAGATTCTTGACCCCTCTGCACAGGTACCTTATTTAGAGGTACTGGAAAGGATGCACCATTGCAACACCCCTTTCCTGTAATTTTAACAATTATTCAATGCTTTTTGATCATATTCACCTGCACTACACACTGATATCTTTCTGTCTCCATTCTCCAAAACTTCACATATTCATGTTCTCAGTTTTTGCAGACCTACTGGGAGCAATTGGTGCTGCCCGGATATGCCACCCACTGGGTCATGTTCAGCCTACTAAGAGTCTCATTCTTAAAGGCCAGATCATCATAGGGTCATAAAATATCAAATCTGTAATGATGCTTTGTTAATCTTCTAATGAGTTCCCACATCATAGATGCAAAACATGAACTTGTAAATGCTTCAATTCCACTTCTTTTTAAACCTGTCACCACATATATATCCCTGTACTGATATATCTCAAACCATTTTTCCAAGGATGACAAAGATACAGGATCATGAATGTAACCACACAGATAAACAGAGCATATAGTCAATTATCTTTCATTGTTCTGACTCCAAAGCTCCTGTAACCTATGTCACACAAAAAGACTTTGTTGTAGAACTTTTACTATATCTTTCAAAACGTTGAATTAAAAATGACCAACAAACATTTTAGAGCAGAGGTTCTCAACCTGTGGGTCACAATATGAAGATATTCTGCATACTGAATATTTACAATAGGATTCATAACAGAAGCAAAATTTCAATTATGAAATAGTAATGAAAATAATTTTATGGTAGGGGGTGTCCCACAACATGAAGAACTGTATTAAAGGGCCGCAGCACTAGGAAGGTTGAGAAGCACTGCCCTAGTGGAAATGTCCAGCAGACAATGGAAAAGTAGGACAGAAGGGCAGGGAAGACAGCAGGGAAAGTTGTAATGGAATACCTTTATAATGTTGGGTTGACAATGCGACAAAAAATGAGATCGATAAGAAATGAAGTAGCAAAAGAAGCTAATGAAAGCTGTGTTATAGTGAGTGAGAGGCAGGGAGGTAAAGGATGCAAAGAAGATAATCAGAAGGCCCCTGCCTGGAAAAAACCCACACTAGGGGAAGACCTGCAGTAGTAGAATGTCACAGTCCTGCAAAGAAACAAATGTTCGAAAGAAGGAAGAGAGATTGGCTTGCATCAGCTCTTGTAGACGAGCCAAGAGAAGTGGTGGAGACACAGCTATTAAGTTTGGCAACTAGGGAGCCAAGGGTTTCAGAGTAAAATTGATTTTGATGTTCAGTTGAAGCTACTTTTTCAAGCCTGAGAGCAGCTCCAGCACCATTCATCAGCTTTAGAAATGTAGAGTCTGGCCATTACTGAGTGAAATTTTCCAAGCTCCATGCTGAAGAGTTTCTAGCTGTGCCAAGTAAGTTTCCATAAGATTTCGTGACATCGAAAGACAAAAAAAAATCTTGGACAAAAGTTGGCAGGGATTTTAAAAATAAAATAGTGTCCCAGTGAGTTCTCAAAACACTTTTCAGTGGAAAAAAAGGGGGAGATAATTGAAGATGTAGAACTACCCTCACACAATGGCTCTCAACCTGTGGGTTGTGACCCCTTTTGGGGGTCAGATATCAGATATTTACATAATGATTCATAACAGTAGCAAAATTACAGTAGCAACAAAATAATTTTGTGATTTGAGCTCAGCACAACATGTATTAAAGGGCTGCAGAATTAGGAAGGATGACAGCTCCTGCACTAGTGAGAAAGGAGAATCCTAGTAATTCCTCTTTTTTCATTCCTTTTACAGCATCCATTTTTAAAATTAGCCAAGCCTCTCTCCAGCCTCACTCCTCTGATTATCGCTGCAAAGGAAGCAATTAAGAACAGTAGCCGTTAGAACTGTGAGCCTTAGCCCTCACCGTCTCCCTGATGAGTAAGACTGAACTAAGATTCTGCTGCAGGAAACACGGAAGAAAAGACAGTCAAATGGGGTGGGGGTTCTTTAACTTTCAAGTAAATAGAAACTTCTTATAAGCCTTTTTCCTACTCTCTCAGACTATGTAATTTATTTGTAATCTTGAACTGCTGCCCACACAGGGCAGCAATGTTGAAGTGGCCCTTAAGTGGCCACTTCCCACCGTGAAGCAAAAGAGCCAGTAGTGAATCCCCTCATTTTGTGCATTTACTTTGAAGAAAAAGATTTCTCAAAGATGCACACTCCCTCTTCATAGTGTTGTCTCTGTTTTTAAGTTAGACAGTAGTCCCTCTTACATCGAACCTCTTTCACAACTCCTTACCCAATGTGATGTTTTTTCACTTGCATTGTCATTAGATGTTCAGAAGAAATAAAAGATGTCAACATTTTTTTTAAAAAAAAGAAAAAAAACGAAACAAAAAGCAAAACAAAACAAAAATGAAAAAAAATCGAACAAGAGCTGTGTGAAGCTGTGGACGTCCATGCCCTAATAGAGTCTCAATTTTTTATTCTTCTGTAGTGGTGGCTTGGTTTGTGTACCTATTTTTCTGCATATGTATTGGAAAAGGTTTCCTTTAAGACATTTTCCAAAAGCAGAGAAGAATCTGAGTGTTCAGGATGAGCTTGTAAAAAATGTGTCTAAGCAGAGCTCTACTTGTGAGATCCTGTCACATTTTACCAGGATGCTTCTAGTAGTGGAATTGTTGTGTAAAGCAGTTTGTTGGCCTGTGATAACAGAAAAGTGACACACCCTGAAACTGTGGCGGTGCTTCCAGGTGAGTCCAGGTCTGAAACCTAGGATATCCAGATAGGGGAAACCTTACTTACACAAAGATGGAACTTTCTCTGAGAGCCAAAAGGAAGACACAGAATTCCTTGGACAATACGTAAGCAAAGATAATAGTGAATTTAATTCTCTCTTGTGCTCCTGTAACATAAACATTGTACAATAAGCACACTGTGAGGAAATAGATTCATTAGTCAACATTCTTCATGATAAAAATTATTCATATTGACAATGTGTAACACTTAAGAATTTTTTAAAATCAAGAGATTGGAGATACAGTATTCATCTCTGTAAGAAATGGGAAGTCGGTGAAAGCAACTTCCCAGTCACCACACCTCAAAATACTTGCTGTTTCCCCTCGGTATCTCCAACCTCTTTGTCAGGATATGGTGTGTTCTATTTAGTTATTTGGGCTTTTGTCCTTTTAAAGCCTGTTCATAAAGACGTTAAAAGCTCACCAAGACAATTATTTTGATCTGTATTTGTATCTCCGAAGAACTATCAGTCCAATGGAATTCCTTTTGTGGCTTGAGGAAAATCCTAAAGTCTACTTTATTTCATTATATATATATATATATATACACACATATATTTATTAAAATTTGTAAGTTGATATTTTTAATATTCTGGGAGTAGAACAACATCTAGAAGGTGTCTATATAGAAAAGGATATGCTTCTCTTCTGAGTGTATAGTCAGTTTCATGAATTCAAGAAATTTTGCTTCATTAGGCCTTTGAAAAGCCAGCAACCTACGCTATACAGCATTTCTTCATTTGTAGAGATAGAGAATCTGAATAGAGTTTATATACATTCAGCAAGAGGGGAAAGAGCTCAATGGCATATGCCTTTCTCCTCTGTGAGGTACATCTGCCCATTTAACCATCCATCCATCCATTCCTTTAAATGAAAGTACTGTCTCTAGAGTTTCTGCTGACCATGTAGTGCATATGTTTATGTTGAGAAGATACCACTGGTGGATTCCCTATTTTCCTACGTTATAAAATTAGGGTGGGGTTTGACCCTCCCCTGAAAATATTTACCATGAAATAAAAGACAAATATGAAAAGAAAATTAAATGATTATATTAATTTCCTGTTTATTTTGCAAAGAGGTATCTTAACCTAAAATATTTAAATGTCACACCTCTCTAGTGAGAGAAAAAGAACCTTAATTTTTACTTTACCTTACTTTAAATTAAGGATTTTTTCCCACTTGTAATGCCAGGGAATTCCACAAGATACTTGGGATGCAAATACAGTTCAATTGATGGCTATGCTCTGCTAATAGAGCTCAAACCCTGGTTGGGAAGTCCAAGACAACAATTAACATCCTTTGCATGTTGTAAAGGCCTTTGTTGTTGTTGTTGTTGTTGTCGTTGTTGCTGTTGCTGATTATTATTATTGTTGTTGTTGTTATTTTAAAAACCCTGGAGCAGTGATCCTTCAGATCACTGTCGGCAGAGAAATGGCTGTTTATATTTATGCTCTCTGTTCAGCATATTAGCAGGGAGGGGCTAGGTACCTATTTACCATCACTTTGTACAAAGATTTAACAATATGTTCCAGTAGACATTACTTGTACAAAATTATATCTATGTACATGTTCTAATTAGAGCAGCCTCTAAAGTCTCTTCCCTGTGTTGACATGTTACATATATTTCTAATAAGTATTAGAGAGGAACTGCTTCTCATGCCAAAATGATGCTGAAGGGTCCATATTTGGGATACTTGAACAACTAGACCTCCAGATGGTTAATAGTTGAGTCCCTTTCCTTTATTTTGTTTTGAGCTCATTTTAATCCAGGTGAGTATATCCAGTTCTTTAACGTTGCCAGTGTGCCCTGAGACATTTGTAGGCACATTTTCGAATGTTGATTCAAAAGTCCTGAGATAGGAATAGGGCAGTGGGAAAGTCAGGGAAGGGTGAGAAGCACAGTAAAGATTATTTATTTAAGAAAGAATAGAACATTAATATTGTAGCAAAGATCTGGTTCGTTGTCATAATCCCATGAAGATTTGGGGGTGACACAATCCCTCTAAATTAGTCACCATTTTGGGAAATGACTTCGTTCTTGATGATCTTGTCTATGTGTCCTTGTAAATATTTGTGCGTCCATACTCCATTTTGGCTACTGGATGGCCAAGTCACATGAAAAGATTTAAATCAAGTATTTATTCTTTAATTGTGTTATTCAGGTTTCTTTCAGGCTTGTGAATTGCACCTACAGTGTTTCAGTTTAACCACCTAACCCTCACGTATATCTCTCTTGTGAAGCACATTCCATTGCTAAAAGAAAAAGAAATATAGATTGCTTCCTGTTTTCTGTATATCTGTTTTTGATAGTTTGAGATGTTTGTCAATAATGGATATTTCTCACCTCAAAGATTGTGTAAATATATTAATTTCCTCAATGGGTCATTTATTTCTAATGAGGCTGCCAGTTCTCAGAGAGAGTCTATGATATCACTTTTAAATAACACAAACAGACATTACACCTATGTAAAAAGAGGTGTGCGTATGGATAAAGTCTGGGAACACAGATAATTGAAATCGGTTGTGTTAGGGTGGTGGGATTACGTGAAAACTTTTCTTTCAGAAAGTTACTTTCTTTGATATTATTATATTATTAATTTAAAAAATAAACAACAGAAAGAGAACTATAGAAACATAGAAGAGATGCCAGGAGCAATTGCCTTCTGGCCAGAGCCCAGAGCATGCAGGGCACAGATATTTCCTAGTTACAATTATTCTGTAGGCTTTATACTTGCCTAGGTACTGAGGTTGGCACATGCTCAGGTATGGCACATGCTTTCTTATGAGCTAAGGAGATGTCACTGCTAGAACTCCAAATGTATTTTTCTGCTATAAATCAAGCTTCCTTCAGCTTTGGTATGGCATCCAGGTGTCTATTTTGTTTGCCTTAGATTGAAGAGCTGACAACTTGATTAGCCCCTTTGACAATATTTGTTTCCGGTGCCTCCTTTCTCGATTGTCTTAAAAGATTTCCAAAGTCAATTTTGGAAGAACAGAAGGATAAAATAGCTAGTTCCCACAATTTTCTTGCATAACAAGATCTAAAGTTCTTTTTTAATGGCCATAGGCAAATCCCATTGGTTTCGATAGAAATTACCATATACAATTAAACCTAACTTCAAGTTTCTTAAGAGAAATAGGATTGCCTGTCAGCATTCAGTTCCAGTCCTGTTAGTTTTGGCTTGAGGTGGTCTCCTTGCCCTCTTGTGCTGCAGAATTATAGCTTGTACTTAGCAATTGTGGTTTTGTCAGAAAAAGAGAGACCAACCATCAAAAGAGAAGAAATTCCTTCTAACTCACCAAAGAAATTTAGACTTTATTAATGTATGTCATACTGTGGTAATCAAAAGCAGGCCCAAACCCCAGAATCTCACAGACTTTTACTTAGTTATTCACAATATGTCTGGAAGTTGTAACCTTGCTATCCTGGTTGAATCTCATCCTTTTCTGAGCTTATTGCAGTTAATATTCACTTAAACAAATGAAGGGTGTGTGGTATAAACATCTCCCAGTCTTGGAAGAAGAAGCCTGAAATTCAGCATTTGTAAACCGACAGTCTAATGGGCCTGGGATTTGGAATAACCTTAACACACAATACTGAACATATATTTGCATGTGGATTGGAAAGGGAATAAATAGGCCCTTGGAAATAAGGGAAATGTTTCTCTTATGAAAGAGTTTTTTCATAAAAGACATTTTTACTCTAGTTTTTGGTTGTTTAGCTTTTAGTTTTATCATTGCTTTTCTGCTTCACACTCCTTTAGTGATCAAATACATTGAACCCAACTTCTCATGCCTGGGAATGTCTGTTTATCATTAAACAGTATCTAACTGAATCTGCAAATGTGGGAATCGAGATGTCATCACGTGCACACCTCTGACTAGAAATACACTATCAACTTGTAGCATGTACTGCCACTTAATATCATTGAACTTGAAAGGTGAACTTACAGAGTCTAACTAGTGCCATCAGTGTCTCCACGGAAAGCTGCCATCGGGTGAATGCTGTCCTATAATACCAACAGGATGGCTAGGACTGTGGTCACCTGATTCAGAACCAAGGAAAGGATTGACAGCAATGCTAGAAAATGAGTTAGATGAAGTAGAAGGAGCCCTGCTCGGGAAAGAGACATAGATGTTGACATGGGCATTCTGCCTAACTTGCTCTGTGACCTCAAACAAATCACGTAGCTTTCTATTTACTCATCTATAAAATAAGGGTGTTAAATTAACTGCTCTTCAAGGTCTTTCCAAAAGCTCTGACATTGTGTGGGGTAACAGTTTGCCTTGCAAATTTAGCCTGCCAAGGCGATGGCAAATATCACAAGCTTGAGCCTGGATCTCTTATGTTGCAGTTACATAGAACTATGTGAGATGGAAAAACTCAAGTAAATGAAGTTAACAGCACCAGAGAATGCTGATCAAACTCATGGAAACCTTCCAATTTCTTCACAATAGTTTTGTTTTTATTTTATTGTGTTTTTTCCACTGGATGTTCCTAGTTTTCATTTTCTATACACTGTATGTAACGTCTGGTTTCCATTAAACTGTGGCTAGAATTTGCT